CTCGAAATTGATACAGAAATCGAAATAACAGCTTGACGAACACTTAACTACTGGTATTTGATAGTCAAATTTAGATTTAAGGACTAATCAATAGTTACGTTAGCGCTTATATAGTCATAGATACTGTAGAGTATGGCATTGATAATTTCCATACTTTTTTAATCGGATTTCACATTCTAATTTACTAGTAGAATTTTGATCTAACGATCATACGTAATATCGGAATTGGTATTGCTATTATTAATTGATTGTAAATGGACAATTTCCTGCATTTCAGCTAAACTAGATAGATCTTGAACGTAGTTTTCAACAGTATTTTCAGAATCCATTCCCTGTCAACAAATCAGTTTTTAGGATATAACAATTATTATTAGCTGCTGATAAGGAAATGAAACTGCACGTCGTGAACAGGTACAAGATGTAAATCAAATGAATCAGCTATTAGGCATTTACCTGGGCAGCATTTTGAAAGATCAAACGTTGATAATTTTTTCTAGTTTCTGGCACTATAAATGGAGTAATCAGTAAACACTTTTAGTAGCTATTAATTAATTTTATTACCAAATGCATTTATAATGCAACGTACAGTATGTATAGGTTTCATTTCTCTGATTATGGTTGTTTTCTTGTTTATGCTGCTGTTCATTGACAAGGTTAGGACGCTCACTTGTGCTTGTTACTAGGTTATGGGAATTATTTTTAAAATCTAACCCTTGGTATATAGAATCTAAATGCATGTGAAATTAATTAGGCAGTATTGAGATTGCTATAATCTTCATAAGAGGGCGCAGCATACTTTTATAATTATATAAATTATTTCATATATATCTCAGTTACTTTACAGCAATAGTCATTTATTAATTAGTGGACAGATTCCTCTTTAATTTTGTTAACTTACCTTGCTGTGATAGGCTTACAAATACTTCAGAGTCATGACGATCAATACCTTGATTATGAAATCCACCCTGAATAGAGTTGCCAGCACTGTTTTGAGGAGCTGTTGTTCCATGGACAGGGGGCTCCTCAGTCTGGTATAGAAGATTCGCTGATTCTTGCGTATCATTACAATTTACTGCATTTGCCGATTCCTCATGGTTTTCTTGACTTGTCGTATACTGTGAACAAGATTATTATACAAGAATGGAAATATTAAAATATATGATAGCTCGGGTTAAAATTATAAACAAACTCTAGCTTACATTCCCATGATCTTCCTCTGAGTTAACTAAATATAGATTAGAGATTGTTAAATATACTGCTTAAATAACCATTTTACTTTGGGATAGCGAAGCCAGATATAATTCATCATAAACACATTTTATAGATATATTAACTGCAAGAATCGATGATTTACCGATGATATTCATCTCTGTTTCTGAAAGGACCTTTAGAGGGTTTCGAGAGAAGCATCTTAAGAAATGTATATAAAGAAGCGTTTATTTTAGTTCGATAAACAAACGAGACCAAGATTGTAACTGTTACATTCTTGATGAATCATTCTTATAGACTTACAGTTTCTTTCTTCTCTTGTAGATTAATACAGCAGCCAATACCAAAATTATAAATGTAGCTAATACAGCAGCTCCTACAATCGCTAAAACCTGCTCCTGATGATTTATGCATTCTGATTCTAAATAATGTATTATTATCAGTTTTTTTGATAATGATTAATTCAAGTTCTTAATATATAAATTATAATGAATCGGAAAATAAGATTGTTTCTATGTCTCTTAATATTTTGTATCTTAATGCTATAAAGTATTAATTCGTCTTGTATAGCAATCATTTTAAAGATTGCCATCTAATCTTATTTACATCAAGTTATTGGTAATAGAACTTACCTATTGCATGATTTATAGTCTTATTATATAGTATAAATACACCAGGATTCGTTGTAACATTTAATACCACCGAAAACATATAAACTACTCTTCTTTTAAGATCCGTTATATTTATTCTATTCATATTAGACTTTGGCAATGATTTAAGGGGCATCATTTGTTTTGGTAATATGCTGTATTCTACGTGAAAAACACTGACATTATTCTTGTATAAATCATTGATCCACCAGCGCACCTGAACCGCGGAACAATTTAAATCAATAACCGCTAGATTTGTCAGTAGCGTTAGTAGATTATTGTTCCCTACAGATGATAAAAGGCATTTCCAGTTAGGGTGTTGAACCAATCTCGAACCGTATATGAAGTTAATATAGAAGTCAAACGCGCATAAGGAATATTACACTTTACCATTTTTATCATGTTTAATGTTATGTGATATATACCGATCACGAAACTCCAAATTTTAGAAAAATAAGGGCTTTATTGAATCTTATATAAAGATTAACTACACACAGCTCTACTCTAGCCGAATACTACTACTAAAGACTTCTACAACGAATTAACAGAATAATCTAAAGTTGCATGCTTTTATACTTTACGTAACATTCGCAGCTACAATCCGCATGGCAACCTTTTACCTTATTTTACACATAGTAAAATTATTCTTAATAACACTATTCTACTGCGGACCATCATTAATCCGATATGGATACGACTACAGTATTTACGTAGACATTATTCACACCAGCCAAAGTGCAATGAATTAACCATATCCTAATATATGATTGACAGTTCTATTTTTACCTATAGCCTCAGTAGTAACTCAACACCTTACTATATATAGTCATCTGTACTCTAGCATAGGGTCTAAACCACTACAGTCTATAGCTATGGCTACCAAACATCTCTTAGGATAAATATAGAAGTTACGCTACCGTGCATTATACTAAACATGGCTAACAGTCTACAATCACAATACTAAGTTACATTACATGTTATATAGTAATTTGTTAAATTAAACAACAGTTATATTCAAAGTTTTAATTCTAACTAGTAAAAATATTCAAGTAATACTGGTTTCTCCTTATATTTATCATTAAAAAGAGCAGTAAATTAATGGAACTCCTAATTTCAGAGTACTTCATTGCAGTAAAACTGTTTTTCGAGCAGTAAGTTTTCTCTTTAATTCATTCAATGCATGAAAATAGTAATCCTACGACAAATTTGACGGCTACTTAATATTATAAATGAGTATTTTAGTACCGCTGTTATGCATAGTGAGCTTTAAGGCCAGGTTCAATTAAAATGATTCATCATGTCTGATTCTAGTCATATATCAACTTAGTAACCTTCTGATACAACAAATTAAGCAGTATACAGTAAAGTATTAAATCTAAATATCTAGCTTGCGCAGTACTAATTCATAATTAAGAAAAATGTTGCAGCTACAGCATAGCTGACAACGAATGCAAACTTGTTCAAAACAGGTTTGAGCTCTTTACAGTTACCGCTCTCTCTGCATTCACTTATTTCGCCTGTAGTATCCTCATTGATATACAGATTTGCTTTATGTGTTTCTACTTATTTAGATTTACTTTTAAGATAGTTTAAATGTAGCAGATCAGATTTACTTACCAGTACTTTCGGTATAGGCCGACGTAGTTGCTGAAATTGCTGGCTTTCTAGTCACATTGGTGTCATGGCAAGTATTATCTACAAAGCAATATTTAAAGCCTTTAATACTAGCCATTTCTTACTCTAAGTTATCGCTAGATAAATTGCACTATTATGCGTATAAATTGCTACTGCACAGTTTTTACTTTGCCGTAAATTCATATGTATTTGTAACCAAATTTCAAGATAAAGTTATGATATTACCGAAGGTGTAATTTTGAGCTTTAGAGCTTATAAATGAGATTTCACCGCTCGTAGCTAAAAGCGCTTTAAGAGTAATAGTATAAACCATGCTTTCATTCACATTATTGATCAATAAATGACCGGCCAACGGCTTAATTTTTACTTTGCGTACATATCCGTTACTCTGAAACTGATCAAGTATGTGCCAAGCAATATTTAATATTAAACTATAATTATTAGGATTATTAATAACCCAAGACACTTCGAGCGTCGAACAGTTGAGTGACCGAAAAGACATGGCATTAATGTCTATATCAACATCTAAACCTATTAAAAGTTGAAATTTTACTCACGTTAGATTTTCTAGAATTGTTGCTAAATGATAAGATGAACACATACGGAAAGTGTTAGCTTACTATTATTTTTGCAGACGTAGCTGCCATTTTCCTCTTTACAGCATATCCCGTTGACACATGAGGATAGACATTGGTATATCAGAGTCTCACAATATGCACCAGTATAGCATTGTCGACATAGACATTTATATCCAAAACCGTCATTGTGATTTTTGCAAGTACCTCTATTGAAACACGAGCTAGAGTTACATTGTTCTACACAAGTCTGACATTGGATACCAGTATAACCTGGTAAGCATTGGCATTTAAATCCTGATTTAGAATTTGCGCAGGTTGCATTATTATAGCAAGAATTATTAACGCAGAAGTTTAATTTACAGCCACAATTTCGACCAGTATATCCTTGAAAGCATGAACACTTGTAACCTTCGACATAATCTTCGCATGTTCCATTTATGCAGGTGCTACTATTGCATTGGTAAATTTTATTTTCACAGTAAATTCCACTAAATCCTGATAAACATGAACAATTATAACTGCCCATCCAGTCGTTGCAGGTTCCATTATTTTGACATGAATTGGTATTACATAGCACAACAGCAGCTTCACAGTTTTCAGCAGTATATCCATCAGTACAATTACACTTGTAACTTCCTGATAAATTTATACACAGGCCGTTATTATTGCAAGTTTTAGAATTACATTCATTAATATCATGTTCACAGTTCGTTCCATTATAGCCAGTTCTGCAGATACATATATAATTGCCTATTCTATCAATACAAATCCCATTATGTTGGCATGGATCAGATTGGCATTCAGCAATATCAGTTTCACAGTTTTGACCAGTATATCCATCTGTACAGTTACATTGGCAATTGTTAGAGTAATTTATGAACAGACCGTTATTATAGCAAGTTTTAGAATTACATTCATTAACATCATATTCACAGTCCGTTCCATTATAACCAGAAGAGCAATTACATGTGTAACTACCTATTTTATCAATGCAAGTCCCATTATGCTGGCATGGGTTAGATTGACACTCGACAATATCAGTTTCACAGTTTTGACCAGTATATCCATCTGTACATTTACATTTATAACTTCCTAATAAATTTATACATAAGCCATTGTTACTGCAAGTTTCATAATTACACTCATCAATGTCATGTTCACAGTTCGTTCCGTTATAGCCGCTAGAACAGTTACATATGTAGCTGTTTATTCCATCAATACAAATTCCATTACGTCGACATGGATCAGAATGACATTCTCTAGTATCAGTTTCACAATTTTGACCAGTATATCCATCTGAACAATTACATTTGTAACTTCCTACTAAATTTATACATAAGCCATTGTTATTGCAAGTTACATAATTACACTCATCAATGTCGTGTTCACAGTTTGTTCCGCTATAGCCACTTGTACAGTAACATATGTAACCGTTTATTCTATCAATGCAAGTTCCATCACGTCGGCATGGATTAGAATGACATTCTGCAATATTACTTTCACAATTTCGGCCAGTATACCCACCTGAACAGTCGCATACATAACTTCCCGATAAATTTATACATAAGCCGTTATTATTGCAAGTTTCATAATTACACTCATCAATGTCGTGTTCACAGTTTGTTCCGTTATAGCCACTAGTACAATTACATATGTAACTGTATATTCTATCGATACAAGTTCCATTATGTCGGCATGGATTAGAATGACATTCTGCAATATTACTTTCACAATTTTGACCAGTATATCCATCTGTACAGTCGCATATATAACCTCCCGATAAATTTATACATAAGCCGTTATCATTACAAGTTTCTTAATTACATTCATCAATATCGTGTTCACAATTCGTTCCATTGAAACCACTAGTACAGTTACATGTGTAACTGTTTATTCTATCGATACAAGTTCCATTATGTCGGCATGGATTAGAATGACATTCTGCAATATTACTTTCACAATTTTGACCAGTATATCCATCTGTACAGTCGCATATATAACCTCCCGATAAATTTATACATAAGCCGTTATTATTACAAGTTTCATAATTACACTCATCAATATCGTGTTCACAATTCGTTCCATTGAAACCACTAGTACAGTTACATGTGTAACTGTTTATTCTATCGATACAAGTTCCATTATGACGGCATGGATTAGAATGACATTCTGCAATATTACTTTCACAATTTTGACCAGTATATCCATCTGTACAGTCGCATATATAACCTCCCGATAAATTTATACATAAGCCGTTATTATTACAAATTTCATAATTACATTCATCAATATCGTGTTCACAATTCGTTCCATTGAAACCACTAGTACAGTTACATGTGTAACTGTTTATTCTATCGATACATGCTCCATTGTGTTGGCATAGATTAGATTGGCACTTAGAAATATCTGTATATAAACAAAAAAAGGCAAGCAGCATAGTATATTTAGTTTACTCACTCACTAAAATGGTATGAAAACTAATACATTGTTTCTTTCTTACAGCAGTTTAACTATAATTAGTTATGTATGTAACAATGCTGCCCTAATTCCATTTATTTATACATTTAAATACCGTGATAGCCTCAGTAATCAATTTTCAATTTTTTAAATGAACATTTATATTTTGATACCTGATTACGTATTGCGTAATCAGTCAACTTAAATAGCAATTTCAAAATACAACATATTTAAATCACCATTATCGCATCTCGTTCCCGTAAAACTGTGTAAGCAGGAGCAATTATATCCATTAGCGACATTGTAACAAGTACCATTTACACAAGGATTTGATTTGCATGCATCTATTTCTGCGAAAGTAATATTCGTAAGAGAAAGCCTTAGTTTAGAGTGGGCCTTTTATAAAACAATCGGCTAGAGCCTAATAAATGTAATATCTAAAACAGAAAAGTGGTGGTACTAGTTCTACATCAGGTTTTACGTATGGGTAGTTTAACTATCGTACGTATCTAGTTTACTTCGCGAGTGATCAACAATATAGTATTCTTGTTTGCAACTTTTATATCTGCACAACAAATAAAAGAATGCAAACCAACAACTTAAGCTGATATGAAGACTCATTCGTGTGAATACCGATGATATGCCCGATAATTATAATTAGTTAATGAATTGGTAAACCTGTACAATATCCTCAAATCTCGGTGAATTATGAGGATGAAATAGATGAAAACATTTTCAAAATCTAATAAATAAATCCTCGAACCTGTTTCACAAAGTTTACCAGTTCGTTGCGGAGGACACATACAATTGAAACTATACGTTCCATTAACGCAAGTTGTATTAGAATGACATGGATTAGACAAACAAGGATTATTTCCTACAATACGCAGAATTAAATAAATTTATAATCAACTTCAAATCGCCTCAGTTTTAAGATATTCTATTATCTAATGATGTTGGTTTGAAGTAAGCGAAGTAGGGACAATGCAAGTAACGAAATTTATGGCGATGGCAGTCATCAATTTAATGGATATCATATCAATAATATTATTTAGAAAGTCTTGTACGTATTTACTTTTTTCGCAACGGCTACCACTAAATACGTTAACACACGACACCAGAAAGTTTACGCGGAGGTTAGATTTTTTCCGATATATCCCATTTATTGTTATGTTATGGTTAGTACCAGCATTGATAGAAAATAGGTGTAAAAAATCGTTCATCAGCCTATACGAGAAATTAGGCGATGTGCCGTCTTGATCCCAAACGGAAACATTTACACGCAAATTGCCCTTTAGAAAATTAAATACACGTTTAAAACTTCAATTAATGGAGCTAGCGTTGTTTCTTTTTCTATGTGGCCGAACTGTAATGTCGTTGCCAGCAAAGAAATTCATTCTATAGCTTATTAAGGAAAGTCACTCACTGCTTTAAATTAATTACATGAACCACTTGGTCAGGTAGTAAGTAATAAAGGTGCTTATTCTTAGATATCCTAAAGAAGCCAGCACCCAATTATTATCGATAATGCTGTAAATCATTTTCTTTAACATGCAAAATTGCAAGCATCAACTCTTCATGGATACTGACTATTCCCTTTGCCGGTAAGTAAAATATATTATACGTCGCAAAAACAGTTCAATTAGTTTATTATGTTAAACTATTTCTAGTTTAACTAATTATATTGATCTACCAATACACCATTTTTCTGCATCACAAATACATACTATCTACTCTTGATCATCAATCATAAAAGATCATAGATTATAGTCTCAGTTTTACAGTAATTACTATACTTACCGACCACTCATCAATAAAAGGGATTACAATAGGATTTCTGATTGTACCGGCATTATTGAGGGCTTCATTAGGCAGAAATTTATATGCTAAATAAGTATTACGAAGTATTTTTGAAGTAAAGCTCCAGTATCTGGTGAAATTAGACGGAGTTCCGAGGGAGAATCTGAGCTGTTTATCACAGATCTCAGAACTAGGATTAAAAGTGTTTTGTTTGTCACATTTTATACCCTCATGATCTTTTTGTCCATTAGTATCCAGCCAATATAACGTCATCGTAATAGTCCCACGCTGCACTGTGTCAGTTCTTCCAGTCTTTATTAAAAAAAATTCAATTTATTAATAATTTCACATTTCCGACTACACTAGCTAATCTTAATGATTAAGAATGATTTAAAATTAGTTCAGCAGCATTTTATAGCAATAAGTCTTAAAATGGCAAAAAATCAAAGGATTTACATGTGATGAAACGAAACTATTAGGGCCCATAACTGGCCTTGAGTTAGAAAAGTGAGATGTAATACTTGTTTGCGCAATCTATTACATCTAATAAATAAGTAAATGATTATATATTATATAGCACATTCGCTACATATTTTATACTTATAATTGAAATTTTATTGACTTAAGGATTAATTCATTACTATATTGCATTTTGCTAGATTGAAATTTAATATTTCGTTTCGAATACATTTATTGCCTTATATGTTATAAGCTGAATTAAATGTTAATCTTAGCCTTTAAATTGAATTTCAGGCTAGTTTAGAATTATTTCATCTACAATTTTAGCTGATAGTGTTATAGGAGGTATGGTTATGTTTAATTATTTTAATTAACAAAAATAGACCGAAAGATGCACCTCGTAATTACCCAGAAACTGGTTAGAAATGGGTAAACTCCTAATCATTCTATAACCTCTATAAATGCCTCAAGAACGGTGCAGATCTGTTTGCATTATTCTCAGCTCAATTTATGAGTAGACACGTAACAAGATTTTCGAAACTATTAATTCATCAATATTACTTTTATGAAAATTAAAAGTGCACAATTTCATTGTCATTTTTAATGTAAAAAATTCGGTCTTGTTAAATTCATATTTCAATAGATGGAATGTTGGTTGATAAATTAAAAATTTGCATTTACGAAAAATTTATCAGTTCCTATCAAAGCATTGTCTAAACTGATTTATACTTGTTGCTAAAATATCTAACGGCTAACTTATATTACTAATAGTAAATTTGAATCAATCTAGTTTGACTTTAGCATACCTGTGATGTTGCAAGAAGGAAGTAAAGCATCAACATTCCTCGATAGAAGACAATTGCCATGCTTAACTTTAGCTACAGACTATCATGTATTAACGTAAAAGATCAGCTTGTCAATTCTGCTCTACCAATCCTACTGTCCGAAATTTCTGATAAGTTATAGCTTGTTAAACTTCGGAACGGCATTATTATTCGCTACGGAAGCGATGTAACATTCAAGGAAGTTAGCATAAGTAGGCTGCATAGTTTCTATTCCAATGTTTAACTAAGGATGACGTAATGAGCCAAAAGCATTTACTTTCGAAAGCGGTAGGATATGAATGGCGATACGTAGTCTCTAGTTATAAAAATAAGTAATTACCTTGACTTATCTTGCTTTATTAAATTGTCGCATGCGTATTTCTGTCGTGAGATGATAGATGGAAGAGCTAACTATAAGATCATAGAATATCTACTTCCAAAATTTGGAGCTGATTTTTCGTCCTATTTCCGAGAATGAAATCAGCAAGATCCATAAATGATTAATTCTTATATAACATAGGTATGTACAAAGATTACGAACTATAATAGCATAGTTCCCGTAAATTATTTAAAGCAGTACGGTAGATGATTTCATCGCTCTAAAATATGTAAAATAGCTTTAATAACAACTACTTTCCTGCCTACTTATAATGGAAGAACAGACAGTTGAAGCAAGCTGCTTTAATCTAAAGTAATTCATAAGTTCTTATCATCACAATTAATCAGAACTAGGACGATAACTTCTACTATAAAGGTACCATCATTGTGTAGCCGTAGTAAGTCCTAATTACGTAATGGTTCCTTTAATTATTCATATTCAGCTACTTTAACAAATCTAATCCTAACATATTCTATGAGATATGGCCATATTGTTCGTCTATATTATAAAATTCAATTCATTAACTTCCATGAGCTTATAAAGTAGACTCGACAGAAGAGATAGACAAAATCCTCAATTATTCGTTAGCAATGTTTTACTGCAAGACGTAATATTACTTTCTGGCTCATAGTAAATGAATTATAAGTTCTGTTATGAATACAGTACTATTTGCCATAGAATAAATTATCTGAATGAGCTCTATTCCCTGAATTAATACATAATTATAGTCTTTAATAAGCAAGAATTAATCAGTTAGGGCCTCTATAGAAAGAAACCTACCCCAAAAAACAGTTAATTACTTAAGATATAATTCTCAGGAATTCTTCTACAGTAATTGAGACCTTTCAAACAAACTAAGTAATCTAGTTGAAAGTGCAGTTGGTAAATTAAGTTTTTAATAAATAGTAGTATAAATACAGAACTGATTAAAGTTAATTTTCGTTAGTTTCTACTTTAATTATTTTAAATAGTACGGTAATCAATTACGACACATGAATTTGGGGATGAATTTTCATTTTATCGGTTCCGTCATAGTGGAAAAACAATGCAGTTATGTTTCAATTAGTTACTTCGATAAATAAGTGCTTACGCCCAGAATTTTAGCATATGATTTACATAAAAGTCATATTTACACATTACGGCTAGATAAGACAGTAACGTTCATGAAATTGATCACTAGAAGCGACCAGTGGAATAATCAATTCTTCTAGTAATGGTAAAGCTACAGCGGTTTTGTCATTTTGCAAAGTGCCCGGGCAGTTTGCAAAATGACCGACTTCGCATACGGTCACGTTCAGATATACATTAAATGAACTGATGTCGTTTTATTTGCGCACAAATTTCCAGTTATTACCGCATTCATATTAACTAGTCCACGAAGAGCCTGCATTAATTTTATGTTTTAGTAAAGTACTGTAAGAGATTTCAAGGTTTGCCACTTATCTATGCGTTCAAAGGCAAATGTTGAAAGTAATTGATAGAAATTAATAGAATATAAAGTTTAGAAGAAAGCAGTCTCAATTGGTCTTCTTCATCATTTCGTACTGCTAAATAGAGAACATAATATTGTTAATCATTAAATTAATATCTCAAGGTATTCATATAATTGTCAATAGAATGCATGTTATTAGTGAAATTATTTTCTGCATTTCCAAAGATAAACTAATTTGTAACCTACAGAATTTCATATTACCTGGTTAAAATATAAAATTATTGACTCTCTTAAAATGAAATAAACAAAATATGCCAATATATGATTATTGCATGGTCACCAGTTTTATTCGTTACTTGTTGACACAGATGTAGCTTCATTTACCACCATACTAAGTGATTCCATTCTTAATCAAGTCAGATATGTTTCTCTGAAAAGAATAACTCTCTATCTCTCGTGGAAAATCGTACAATTATTGGTGGCTGTTAATAATAGCTATTATTGTTTAATTCTAAGAAAAGTCAGCATTTAAGTAATTACTTTATTCTTTATGGCGATTGCAACAAGTTTTTCGTTATACACGTAAAGTAAAAGAAATGATCTATGAAATCAAGCGTAAATATCCCTTATTAATTAAAAGTCAAATGAGTTTACTTCGACAATTCATAGTGATGAAAGTCTGGATTCACTAAAGCATAAACGACTACCATTATGCATGCCCATAAGGATAGAATTAATAAGCTAACGAACTGTATTAGTACAAGATTTCTTATGAATGTTAGAGACTTTATTATTGACCAGAATTGTTGCAATTTTCAATTTTCTATTACTTACTACTGGATTTATTATTTAAAATCTAAAAAATTGCCTTATATGTGATTATTTCAGTCTATGATGAACAAAGTTTGCAGTGATATTAACCTTTTCTGAATGAATACTATTAAAGCGCTGAAGTACATAGTAACAAATAATATTAAAGGAAAATGACTTTCTGTAAGCGTTAAATGGATTACAGCATAAAGCTGCTTAAAAGTATGATGACATAGACACTAATATCATAAACAATACGATCAACATTTATCTGCTTTCAAACCTCGACCAGCTAATTCGTAAAAGCTAGGGCTTACAACCTTAATTTATAAAATTAGAGCTGTCTGAATACTTTTACATTATATATGGCTACCTGTAACTACAATATGAACTATCAGAATTTATAACTTGCATGAAATATAATTTACATCATGCTGCAATAATGTTTTATGTTCTTTTAATAAACTGTAATCATGCTCAATTGCGATTGTTAACAATACGGATAAATTACTTAATGTACACAGTTATAATAGACCATCACTCCTGTCAATTCAATTTACACCTAACGAATTTCGTCTCTGAGTGCTATACAATTTCCTAAACATTATCAAATCAAATTTTCACCTGGGCTTGGAAGATTAAGGCTCCTTCTTTACGACTAATTTCATTGCAGCCTATTGCTTTCTGCTATTTATACATGAGATGTGACTGAAATTGCACGAACATCTTATGGAATAAAATGAAAACATTTTACTTATAGTATTTAAAAAGGAGATCATGTTTAACATTAATAGCAGAAAATCAGGCCTGTAGCTCTTTTTCACTTTTTCCTATACCATACTATAGCTTAGCGAGCACTTTTAGGATATTATAAATTTATCCATGTAATTTAGTTAATTAAAGCTTTGTACGATGCATGACGAGTTAAGCCCAGTAAAAGGCATATCTTAGGTTTACACTTTACACTAATCTTTTATTCTGCCTGTAATAGTTTGTATTTTTACTACAAAATAAAGGGTTAATAGAAATCGACAAGTATCATCCATAGCTGATAATAAGCAAGCCAAGGTAACAATTATAATTTAAGCTTATGTGGAGTTTTGACAACACAAGCGTTCTTAGTTAAAGAAAATAATTCGATAGATTAGTTTTCATTTAAATAAGATACTGTCTAACTAAGCGCGACATTAGGCTTTCACAACCCTACGTGATTATTCAATGTACTTTTCTAATTAGCGTTGTCTTCTGTAGAATTTAACGCTATATAATACATAAATTGTTCTTCAATTCTTCAAAAGGCTGTGACACATAATCTTAGTATGAACAAGTTATACTATCTGTCGTATACTAGTAACGTCCAGATGTTAATAAAGGTATAAGATTGGAAGGAAATCTCATTCTTATTGACATTAGTTATTGTTAAAATTTAAGATTTAAAAATTTTTAGGGCAGTAGATATAATAATAATGAGCAAATGTAAACGAAAATCTAATGTTAATTAATAACAAAATATCCTTTCATAGAGTCTTATCTTATTCTAGCAAGAAGCGTAGATGGCACTTTGCTTTTCTCGCTCATAATTTTTTAACGTCGTTACAAATTGGCCCCCATTCGAAGGTTTACTTTGCAAACTATTCTACTTTAGATTCCAAGCTAGAAATAGTTAAAAGCGAATTAATCCTGTAATTTACACTACGGTGTTAAATATATTATTCGTTGCTGCTAATCATGCGACTAATAAGTTCATCGTGATGATCGGAACCGGAGTCAGATTCATCAGAGCTACTGCTATCATCACTATGATCGATTTCAATTCTCTTAGCTGCAGGTAAACGTCTGGAAATAATCGCATCAATTCGATCTCTTGCATTACTTTTATCTGCTTCAGGTGCATCAGATTCATCTGATGATTTTGATGAATCAGAAGAAGATGCAGAAGAATTTGAACTATCATGATTTTCTTGATTATTCTCTTGCTCTTCCTTTGATATCGGAACTTCAGCGAGCCCCTCTAAACTACTATCGGTTTGTTTAATATCTTGTTCTACATTGGGATGCTGTTTTTGATTTATCTCTGGGACATCCTTAGATTCACCTACAGCAATATTAGAATTCTCACTACTTTTTCCATAACCATGCTCCTTTTCATTTATTTTTAGAACTTCTTTAGGTTCATCTACATTATTATTCGCCTGCTCACTACCTCTTCCATTACCTTGCTCATCTGTCGACTGCTCCATATTCTCAGGGCTTTGAATACTGGCTCCCTTTTTGGACAATTGCTGATAGACATCATCTACAATTTCTGGTTCACTTTTAATTTGTTTCGCAGGTTTTTCATTTAGCTCTTCCTTCAAAAGTTGTGGCGGAGAGTGACTTATCGAAGATGTAGTTAGCGTAGGTTGTTCTTGAGCCTCTTCTTCGTTGCTGCTGCTATTTTGTTCGTCATCGCTATCATCATCGGACGATTTGTCTGAGCTATCGTTATTGTTATCAGGTTTATCCTCACTTGATGATTCATCTGAACTATCACTACTTCTTTCATCTAGTTCCTCTTCCTTTGGTGGTGGTGCTTTAACTACTATATAGTATCAAAAAATCACAGCACTATCATTAATATCCTATAAATTACCGTTTATACTCTTCTTTTTCCTACTATAACAAACCTTTCGCTTCAAAATCTTTGACAGAATCCCCGCAATTATCGTCGCTATGCGATTGTTCTGTAGATTTAGATTCATTAGAACTACTATCATTATTCACTTGATCGCTACTGACTTGTTTTGATGTTGTTCCTACACCAGCTGGATCGATATTAGGATTAGATATAGCACTATTGTTGTCCTGCTGAAATATTGGAATAAATTACAAAGAGTTATAATGAAATTAACCCGTACACTCAAATTTCTTCTTAGCAACTAAATTAACGATATCTTCCAATCTTTCTTCAAAATTTTAGCTTCCAGAAAGAGATTTAAGTATTACCATAGCTGCAAAATTTAATCGCATACGTAATTTTATGATATCCAGGACTGGAAGTATCTCTGTATCAATCTCTGATACAACGAGCACAGTAAAATTTAAAGTATGCTGCTCTACTCCTGAATTTTTGATAGTTATACTAATATATAATTTAATGGTAATACCAATGGTAACCCATCCTCTAATTACATTTATGCAATATTTCTAACCTCGTCCATATCAACTTCAGTTGTACGAGTTTGGTCAATTTCAACATATTCTTGCTCACTTAGATCATTCAGTGTCGGAGTAGAATAGAGTTCTAGATAATTTCCATCAACGGCGTCTTCATCGTCACTACTGGCGTTGTCTTCTATAATAGTGCTCTGTTTCAATGTAAAGATAAACAGTTTTGTAGACATTCTAAAATTTGTATGATTTTTTTTGTTACTGAGTAAACGGACATGGTTTTGAGTTAGCTTAATGATTTACTGCGGTATCTAGCTGCTATAACTGCAAAATAGCAAAGGAAATTAAAAAATATAGATCGCTTAGCGGTGCAGTAGACAAACCGTAATTGAGAATGCTGTAAACGTAAACTGGATATCTACTGGTATAACACAATATATTAGTTTACTGTTCTTAGAAATTATAAATGAAAACGCAATTTGAACAGCATATTTAGGCAGTAACGAAACCGAGTATTAAATACATTCTTTCATTGTTATTTGCAAAAATAATAGTCGCATCTAGAAGAAAGAAACTCGTTCTACAATAGATATAAATGCGTATTACCAATATATAGCAAAATGAGCAAAAATTTTATTTTATAACTGCAAATAACGGAATATAAGAAAATTTAAAGAGATAATCAAATTTCGTTTATGTTTAACTCACTATAGACCAAGCTTAAAAATACTGTAGATTTGGTAGACGGACTTAAATTTATATCACCTTGGATTTTTTTCCAATAAAATATTTACAAATTTAATTAAAAAGTTTAGCATTAAATTTTATTGAGTTAATTTAGCTATGTTACCTCAATAACTTCCGTGTCTGTCACTGCCGTATCATTATTTGTTGAACTTAGCTGATGATTTCCTCTCTGTAGATGATTTTAATAATATATTTAAGCACAGTATAATTTAAATTCTGTCAGTTTTACTACCTCTATATTCTCCTCTAATAACTATCTGATATAGGTATTCATACACGATTTAATATAAATTTAATGCAATCAACATTTCTACAAGTTAAATTATGTTATCTCATACGTAGCTTGTTATAGAAGGGCTGTCTAAGCTAATGCATATAAGGTATAAGTTAACGTTACATATAATAATTACTATCCCGTATATTGTGCGCAACGTATGTTACGAGATCAATAACCGATTGCATTACCTCAGCATTTCCTTGTTTTATTGTTACTAAACTGTGGCTACTTTCTCGGCCACTATTGACTTGCTGGCTATCCGATGTCGTTGTACCTTCACTAAGACTGTCATCTTGCATAGCTGCTGGATTAAAATGAGCCAATGGCGCATCAGCTTCTTCATCCCTGTCAGCTTCATGAAGCATGGTAGTACTCTATATAAAGAAATTGTCTCAGAGAATTGTGAAGAAATTTACACAAGTAATAGAGCAATAAGCAATTTATGCTGCGACTAAAGGTGTAAGTTATTTTATTTACCGTATAATTGAGGTTTTCGATAGCTAATGAATAATGATGATTGTCTAAATAAGATTTGATATCAATAAGGTGTTGGTATGTTGAAAAGACAAAGTACATTAAGTAAATCAGGATATTATAGCAATTAATGGATAGGATGAAGAAATATTGCATATACTTGTACTTAATGATTTTATACCATACCTTCTGGATCATCTATAGGCTTGGCTTGCTTTAATGTTGGCATCATGTAATCTTGAGTCTTACTATTATTCATTTGATGTTTCTTGGTACATGGTAAACGAAGACCGCTACCAATGATTAAATTATAGCCAGTTTAATTATTTAGTTAAGTAAAATGAGTCCCTTTTCGTAAAATACATTAAGTTCTTTTGTAATAAAAGTAAAATACTTACTTTCGACGACGACGGTAGAGATAAACTACAACCAATATTACAAAAAACACAGTAATAGTAGTAAAAACCGAGACAACAGCAGATACAGTAGGAGATGCAGCATTTGCAACTTGTCCTGGACAACTATCTGTTATTTATATTAAACAGTATTATTAAAATGCTCGCAATTTGCAAAAAACGTTTAATAGCAGTAGTTAAGTACAAAAATTAAGAAGTCTATATTTGTCTAAGATTACTCCATATATATACATATTACTATCCACATACTTAATGTGTAATTTTTGGTTACGTCGAACTGATATTCAGCCTTGATAGCATTTGCTGCAATTGCTGTAATACCAAAAGTGTAACTAAACCCTGCCCTGAGCTGTGGAATTACAGCATTCCTAGCTGTTGACAACAACCTTCTGCTAGACCACACAATGTGTGAAGTGATTTTCCAGCGAAGAATGATAGCTGTTACAGGGTCGTTATTGATATTAGTTAACTGCCAAACAGCTGTAACTGTCGTGCAGTTGTGAGGCTCGATGGTTATGCTACTGATAACCGGAATTTGTTCTATTACATAAGACAGATGGAAGAAAGTTGTGTTATAAAAATTAATGCTACAAATATTTCAAATGTTTACAACTGTAAAGAATACAAGAACAGAAGTTATTATATAAAAATAATCTTCCGTTCACAGTTATGTACTACTATACGCACTTGGTTGGCATGTGTATCCATTAACTCCATCAATACAGTTTTCATTTCGCAAGCAAGGATATGATGCACATTCGTTGATATCCGACTGGCAATATAACCCAGTATAGCCAGAAGAACAACTACAACGATAACTATTGATTAAATCCAAACAAATTCCAAAGCTGCAGGGTGAGCTAGCGCATTCATTAATGTTGATTTGGCAGAAGGTACCGCTGTAACCTGCACTACAACTACAGTTATACTTGTTGACTAAATCTATGCAATAAGCATTGTTAAGGCAAGGATTAGATGCGCATTCATTGATATTAATAGTACACTGGGCGCCAGTATAACCGTTTTTGCAATTACATGAGTAGCCATTTGCTAAATCGATACACGTTCCACCATTAGCGCAAGGCTGGCTCTGACATTCGTTGATATTGGTTTGGCAACTTGCACCAGTAAATCCAGTTCTGCATGCACAACTATACGAGTTTATTAAATCACTACATGTACCTAAATTCATACAGGGTTCTGACTGGCATTCATTAATATTACTTTGGCAGCGATCACCATCAAAGCCAGGATAGCATGAACAATTATAGCGATTAGGTAGATCAACGCATATAGCAAGGTTCTGACATGGACCACTTGCACATTCGTTAATGTCAGTTTGACAAATACCTCCTGTATAACCAGATCGACACGAACAGGTATAACCATTAACAATATCGCTACATATTCCAGAATTTTGGCAAGGATTACTTTGACACTCGTTAATATCAGTCTGGCATGTAATTCCAGCATAGCCCAATGCACAAGAACAATTGAATCCATTTACAAGATCCATACAGTTTCCAGAATTTAGGCAAGGAGAACTTGCACATTCGTTAACATTGGTCTGACAGATTACTCCAGTATATCCTGCTACGCACTTGCATCTGTAACCATTGACAGAATCTGTGCAGGTTCCCCCATTCATACATGGTAGGCTTACACATTCATCAATATTACTCTGACAATAGATGCCGGTAAAACCGCTACGACAGGTACAACTATAGCCATTAACAAGATCATTACAGGAACTACCATTGATACACGGACTAGATCCACATTCATTAACATTGATTTCACAATGTGTGCCAATAAATCCAGCTTCGCAAGTACAGTTATAACTGTTAATTAAATCTAAGCAAGTACCGCCATTAATACAAGGACTACTACCGCATTCATGAATGTTAGTTTCGCAGTTTTTACCAGTAAAGCCAAACATGCAGGCACATTTATATTGATTAGGATAATCATAACAAATTCCACTATTAAGACATGGATTGCTATCGCACTCCATTAACTCTGTTTCGCAGCGATCGCCAGCATAGCCAGGCAAGCATGTGCAATTGTATGCGCTAACCTGATCGACACATGTAGCATTATTGAGGCACGGAGTAATACTGCATTCATCGATGTTGATTTCACAATCATATCCAGTAAAACCTGCAGCACAGCTGCAGTTATAGTTATTGATTAAGTCGAAGCATGTGCCTTCGTTGATGCACGGCATGCTATCACATTCGTTGATATCAATTTTGCAAAGTGAGCCAGTATATCCAGGCATACATGAGCAATTGTAGCTATTAATGTCATCAATACATATACCTTCATTCATGCAAGGATTAGACTGGCATTCATCAATATTCGTTTGGCATAAAGTGCCCATATATCCATTTAAGCATGTGCAGTTATATCCAGCCACTAAATCAGTGCAACTAGCATCATTTTGACAAGGATTACTGAAACACTCATCAATATTGACTTCGCATATGGAACCGGTATAGCCAGAAATACATGTACAATTATATCCGTTAACAAAATCATGACATATACCACTGTTAAGACAAGGATTACTGTCGCATTCATTAACATTTAGTTCACAATCAGTCCCCGTATAACCAGCTAAACAAGAGCAATTATAGCCATCAATACCATCGATACAGGTGCCTGTAATCTCACAAGGATTACTAGCACATTCGTTCATATTCGTTTCACAATGATCTCCAGTAAAGCCAGGCATACAACTACACTGATATTCATTGATAAGATCCATGCACTGGCCGTTATTAATACAAGGTTGGGAAGCACATTCGTTAATATTTGTTGAGCATATATTACCACTGAAACCAGCTTGACAAGTACAGGTATAGTTATTAATCCTATCAGTACAAGTTGCATTATTCAAACATGGACGGGAATTACACTCGTCGATATCTACAAATAAAAACATTCCGGAAAATTCATTAATTTACCCGAACATTAGCTGCCCTAGACTTGCCTTATAAATTACACAATCATTATCTACAAAGCTGGCTAACTGACTTGTATTAGCTGATGAGACTTATATTAATGTTCGACAATACGATACATGATATAACTGTGAATGTTGCATAGGTGCGCCATAACTCAAAAGAACTAGCTGGTCAACATCTGCCTTACTACAGTAATTTAATTCGTAACAATAACTGGCACCAAGTTTATCAATCCTGCCATAAATAATGTAAGGTTTTAATTGATGAATTAAACTACATCAGCCGATATGCAACTCTTTGCAAAATCAAAAATATCTGAATTTGTAAACAATCATTAGAATTCTATATTCACTAGCGAATGTTTAAACCTGTCTTCTTACTTATTTCACATTGATCCCCTCTAAAGCCAGCAGCACAGGAGCAATTATAATGATTTGGTGCTGAATTTATACAGGTGGCTTCATTTAAGCAGGGGGAAAATCTACAACGATTAATATCTATATCGTATAAAACAGACGAAGTATGCTAGATTTAGTATAATTAAAAATAATAAACAACACCATATCTTCAGTTAAGAAAAAATCAAACAAGATTCAAAGTTTTAAATACTCTCTGTTACCGTCTTGACAAGTAAATCCAGACCAATTATCCGTACAATTGCACTGAAACGCATTCAACAAATTGATGCACTGGCCGCCATTTTGGCAGGGCTGATGGTGGCATTCATTGACGTCTATCCGTAGAATAGCATTAGTTAGTAAAGATGCTTAAAAAAATCCACTTTTCCACAAAATACTAATAACCGGCACTATAAATAATTTATTTAGCATAATAGCAGACTGACCGTATTCACAATCAGTCCCGTTATATCCAGGTATGCAATCACATCGATATTGATTGGCTCCGACATTAACACATGTTCCACCATTTTGACATGGGGTGATTCTGCACCTGTTATGATCTAATGAAAAAGTGTATGAAATAAATTTATCTTTGATCAGGTCTAAATAAATATTTTTCGGCCTTAGTGTGTTGTAGAAACATCTTAGATTCCTAATTAAACCATGAATTCATCTTAGAGGGGTACACTAATATAAATTTTAGTCGGTTAGCATAGCTAATGATAGAACTACTGTTAACAGCAATTGTAATATTGTCATTGAATTTTATTCTCCATTTTATTGGGACTAGTAAATTATAATTCATTTCGTATTACTGTTATTAAATTATTCAGCTGGATTCTAGGCAGTATTCTAAAGTTACTGGGCTATTGGATCGTAATGTATAAGTCTGATAAAAAAAAAATAATTGCCCACCAGATCAACATTTAAGTACCAGTGCTGCTTAATTTATTCTGTATTTACAAGCTGTAATATTCAACGTGATATAGGGCTTGATTAATCCAGGCAAACGTTGATCTGGTGTTAATATTTTTGCTATGAAAATTATCCGCATTAGTAGTCAAAGTACTGAACTTGTATAGTTTCCTACTTCAGGCGCTATAAACAATATCCTGTTCGGACCACGAAGTTTATAGAACTACATCATGCAGAAGCTGCCAATTCTAGAAATACACACTCATACAATATAAATGATGGCCTAACAAAAGCGTAAGCCAGAAAATTTTTCTGGCTAATTCTATAAACTACATATCTTAGCCTCATTTTTCCATTATCGCAAATAAGTTCAGTTTCTTATCACTTACCGTGTTCGCACTCAGTTCCATTAAAGTTATCAAGGCATACGCAGACATAACCATTAATACTATCCGAACAAGTTGCATTATTAGAGCATGGATTAGAAATACACTCGTCAATATCTATAAGATGGCAATAGTTATAGATATGTTAGGATATAAATAATTGAAGTCATAGGCTTGCATAGTAGCTATCGATAACATAATATTGAATTCAGTCAAATAAGTCTAAAATTACTCGTTTCGCAGAGTGATCCCGTAAATCCGGCTTGGCAAGAGCAGTTATAACTGTCTGGGAAAATATTACTACAAACGCCTTGGTTCAAGCATGGCCTTAAACGACATCGGTTATTATCTGCAAAAAGTGCCGTAATCAGATAAACAGCGTTACTATTGCTTCAGAAATATATAGATGCTGTGCAATCCGTAATTTCCTGACTTAAAATTATACAAATTTAACTGAACATGGTCTCATAAAAAATACTGCTTATGAATAAATTATCCAGAAAGTAGGAGTAATACCCTTCTAAGAGTAGATATATAGCACTTATATCGCTATATGCCTAGAAAATGATCTCATAATTAATCGTTGATTGTTACAAATTAAAGCCTAAAGAAAGTATTTTTGGAGACAATTCTTAAACCTCAATACAGCAGTTGTTATAAAATTCTACAAACTCAAAGTCTTTTTGTTTTGATATGGAAATAAACGTTATATAATTAATACCCACTAATTAAAGAAAATCGGTTCAGATTCGAGAAACTCGAGCACAAAGGACAAGTGTTTTATGAATAATTGCTTACTACAGCGATAACATCCTTACCATATTGGCAGTTTCCGCCGCTATAATTTGTACGACAAACGCAATCATTGCCATTAGCACAGTAACCATTTCCTAAATAGAAATAATTTGATATTTAATTGAATTTTAAAATACTATACTGTATAGCAGCATAAATTTGTATAGAATATTACCAGTACATCCATCTTTTAACACACAGCTGGAGCACGTATTTCCGGACCATCCGCTGTTACAACTGCAATTTAGTTTAAATAAGAAATAGATACCAGTATAACCATTAGCCAACCAAAAATGTTTTATTCGAAATGTTATTAATGAAATACATCGTTTTTTTTAACGTTTTGAAACATACTAGCATTGGCCAGGTGAATTTGTGCAGTTAGCATGAGATAAATCACAGCCTGTTCTACAAATTGCTTTAAAAATATCAAAATAGCTCTTATTATACAAGTTATAAATAAACATTTTTAGCCAATACACAAGAAGATAAAATTTGATTCATAAATAGCAAATGCTAACATAACGCCTTTATTGCTTATATTCTGTACCTGTTTGACAGCTTGAACCTGTCCATCCTGGTACACAAGAGCAATTGTAGTAATCAATAAAATTATTACATGTAGCCCCATTAAAGCAAGGCGTCGATGAGCATTCATCAATATCTAGAGCAATCAACATTATACAAAGGCTTTAGATAAAATTATACTGTGAATACTTTTTTACTATTTCCTTAGATTTTAATATACCGTGCTATTTCCATTAATGCTACCCTATTTTATACGTGACTTAAACCAAGAGTTTACAGCTTAACAAGATTAAGTTTGCATTCTGCTTGTCATACGCTGGTACAGAAACTTACCTGTCTCGCAAATTTTTCCAGTATATCCTTCTACACATTTACATTGATATGTATTAATTGCTTCATTTATGCACGCGCCATCATTTTTACAGGGATTACTACGGCATGGATTTAAATCTAATGTAGTTGAATTAACATATGCTTAGTTCACATCTATAAATGATAATTCAACTAATCAGTGCATTTTTACAGGCAATACCGATTGATCAGCTCTCAAAATTGATCTTAAAATTTAATAGTAAGCGCAAACGAGATGCTGATTCTAAAATAGAAAATCTTAACAAATCATATTTACCATTTTCGCAATTAGCACTTGTATAATTTGATAGGCAATCACAAGTATAATTAAATGGCCCTTCATAGGAACATATTCCTCCATTAAGACATGGTCGACTTACCCTACAGAGATTCATATCTGCAGTAAAACAAGACGAATTATTTATCGCGACTGATGTTTTAGAATTACTGATTATGGTGATCACTGGATAAAAAATAACCTACCAGTTGCACAATGAATGCCAGTATATTGCGGTAAGCATTGACAAGTGTAGTAATCAATAAGATTATTACATGTTGCGCCGTTTATACAGGGACTTGATGAACATTCATTAACGTCTGTAATTTAATTAGAGTAACAGCATGACGTTAAGTTAACTTTTAGCATCTCAGAAATTAATCAATGAACTATTTAACTAAATTTCATTTAAATTTCTAAGCTATGACTGGTGGATAGTTTTCAAATTAGTTACGATAAAGTAGAAGCAATCGAAAGCTAAAAATAGCGATAACGATTATTATCATTTGTAAATTTATTAGAGTAACGTAGGACATTAGCTTAACTTTGCTCTTGAAGAAATTAATCATTAAACTAATAAACTATATTTTACTTCATTTGCAAATCTATGGTGGACAGGTAATTTCAAAGGAGTTACTGTACAGCAGAAAAAATCTAAGCATAAGATAATAATAATATTAACTATTGTCGCCTATCTGATAACATCTGTACTATAACTAAATTCATGTGGAATGTGTTTTTAATTTAATTCACAATAAAATCGTATAAATTTTACATAGAATATTTAATTTCGATAGAGCTATTCTCACCTGTTTCACAGTTAGTGCCCGTATAACCTGGGAGGCATGAGCATCTATAGTGATAATTGCCGAGGTAATTGCAACTGCCTCGATTTTGACAGGGCGACATGGTTCGGCAAAGATTGGAATCTTTAACATCACATATATAGAAAGCAAATAGTTTACATCAATTATATTATAAGCTAAATGAATGGCGAAAATTACATTTTATTCAAAATATCGACTAAATAATGCTTAGCATTAATTCAATAACTATATACATATATGTTACGGTGTAGGTATGTGGCGATGGCATCGTATACGCTATCAACCAGATTAAATTGTTATTATTCCAAAATTACTTCAAGTTAATTACATCAATATCCAAAATGGAAGTATAACATCACACGCATTATTTATATATTTATTTTTTCTATCATCCGAATCTAAAAGTTAACTTATAAAGCGCGCATACCATTTTCGCAGTGAGCTCCTGTAAACTGTTCTGGACAAAGGCATGTATAACCGTTAATATTATCCATACAAGAAGCATTAGTATGTTGACAAGGATTTGAGGAACATTCGTTGATATCTATGAGATTTAAAAATTAAATGAGACTTTTTACTTTAAGCATACTAATTTCGAAGAGTTAAATTTCATAGTAAATGTAAAACATGTAGTACGTATAATGTGCTCCAATAGCATTAATTATATCTTGATATTATAAATTTCTTTGAATTAAACTAATCAAACTCATTATATGAAAGTTATCTCTTCGCTGCATCGTGCCAAAAGCTATATCACACCAGAATTTTAATGCATTAAAAACTTCATTGACAAAATATCATCTTTTGAGTATAATTATCAAAATTATGATTTGTGAGAAATTTTATAGATAAATTCTAAAGATGCATATGTCACTAAAACAACATTTAGACAAATTAGCAAATTTGTAAATGAGGTCAATAATCATAATGAAAATCGACTAATCTGGATACATAAATTCACAATACTAGTTTAACTCAGTTTAATTTCGAACTCTATGAGACTGTCTCGTTAAAATAATATTTCAATCAAGAGCTGTCTTCATTTAAACAAATATCCACTAGGAATGGTTATTTTATATATCTATCAATATATCTTCAACAAGTGACTACCTATACCAAACCAGACTTAAATTTTAATGGAAGTTATTCAACGTGAAATCTAATTAGTCAATTGCTATGATCACAAGTGAATTTTCTTAATAAATTATCAAATTTTACTGCAGAAATTTAATTAACCTAGCATAAAATACATAAAATATATATTTAAAGGAGCTTCTAATCTAAGAAAGAGCATTATATCTAAATTGACGGCGAATAACTCAAATTGAATAATAATACGGTGCAATTCCATGAAATACGCATTTTATTGACATTTAATAAGTAGATTAATTACCTGTACCGCAATGCAGCCCAATATACCCAGGGACACATGAACAGTTATAACCATTCAATTGATCGTTACAAGTTGCGCCATTTAGACAAGGGTTAGAGTCACACTCATCGATATCTGTCCAATTATTACAATAGAAACAATAAAATTAACAAATATACTATAATAAAGCTGAAGACGTGCTTACATAATGGCTAACTTAAAGTTTTAATTGTCTATTATTTGGTATAAATCCAATATGCTTTGACTCTATGAATTGAAGATAGCACTTACTTTGTTGGCAGTTCTTGCCAGTATATCCAGTAATACATGTACATTGATAATTAAAAGGGCCTGTAGAAATACACGTTGAGCCGTTTTGACAAGGATTGGCTTTTCGACATTGATCAGTATCTGATACGGCGATAATTTAGGGAGATATTAACAAATTTCATTGATGCATTAGGTTAACAGAGCTTTAACAAGAAATTTTAAAAATACAGACAGTCAAGGAAGTGCAGCATAGTCAAAGATTATCACTAAGGTATCTTGATATTAAGATGAAAAATAATATTTCCACAATAATACCATTATCACAATGGATTCCTGTCCAGTTTGCGGGACAATTACAGTTATATCCATTTATTTTATCTACACATGTAGCATTCTCATGTCGGCAAGGATTTGAAACACATTCATTAATATCTATATCAAATAAGCATGAAAAATGATCACTATTTTAAAGGCACAGTTCTCTAATGTAATTAATTTATAAAATTTTGTGATCAGAAGACCTATCAATTACTATAAATAAATGAAACTATCGATTATAAGTAGGCAGAAAACTAACATAGTTTTCAGTATCTTAAGATAATCTAAATGGAGCACATTTATGTCTGGTAATTGATACATCTAGTTAGAACTAAAATCGCCAAATAGATCTATGATGACGTTAGAACTTCTGTCTTAATGTGATAGCTACTACATATTAATTATTCTTATTCTACCAATTTTTTTAATTTAACCCAACATTATTGATAGTATTATAAAATTATATAAAATACTTAATATAACTATAGTGTAGTTCTTATCTTAAACTCAGACAATTGCATAACAACTGGCAGTAATTGGAAAGTCTAGCTGGCAGAAAGGTAAAATCGGCAAATTTTATCAAATATTTTCACTCTTTAACTATTTATTGATAATTACATATTGTAGTGAATAGGCTTTTATAGGCATAGCGGATTGTTCTACTCTCTAATGCTACCATAATTTATGTAACTACTGTAATTAGCTGAAATCACTACTCTTACGAGAGGAAAAAGTTAATTTAAATAAAATATGTTCTACATAATCTAACGAAAAGTATTAAATTTGAAATCTTTGGTCCGCATTCATTTATACTATTGCCATATCTATCAGACAGACAAATTACACTTACTCGATTCGCAATGAATGCCACTATACCCAGGTTGGCATGAACAGGTATATCGTAAAGGGAAATTATTGCATGTTGCATTATTCTGGCAAGGATTGGAGTTGCATTCATTAACATCTGCGTATTAGAGTAGAAATTGTTATGACAATTTCGCAGAAAATCAGAATGAAATGGTAATATTACTTAAGAGTAAATACGAATAACCTTCTTCTCAAGATATTTTAACAAGTTATAATAGCAAAATTCTGTGTACATTGCATGCTTTACCTTGTTCACAATTTATTCCTGTGTATTCTACTGGACAATTGCAATAGTAAGTATAGGCTCCAGTTACTGTGCAAACACCACCATTTTTACAAGGTGAAGTAAGTCGACATTGATTCGCATCTAAATTTTATTTTGGATTATGATTAGTAATGGATAAACCAAAATTAAATGCCTTCATAATTCTTAGCCATTGCTTGGCTGTTTTCAAAGCTCAGCCAATTTTTTCATAAGATACCTGTTTCGCAAAGAGTTCCTGTCCAATCGAGAGGGCACTTACATAAATATCCATCAACTTGATCTATGCAAGTTGCATACGGATGTTGACAAGGATTGGAAGTGCATTCATTAATATCTAATCACAAATAAATTAATTGCATTAGGTTGTAATGTAATTACTATTTTATGACTACATTTAATCTGGAGTATTAGAGTTTTTCAGTTTAAAACATAAAAACATGGTGAATTCATATTTCAGCAAAATTGTACTTGTCTGGCAAGCAGAACCCGTAAAACCATTTTTACAAGAACAAGTATACGAATTAAGTCCGTCTTTACAAGTTCCACCATTGGAACACGGAGTTCCAACGCAGTCATTGATATCTATAACAAAAGTAAACATAACCATAAGGTAAGAAGTATATTATTAACGCAAACTTTAAAAGTAGTAGCCAGATTTTATCGTTATCTTATGGTTATGTGAAATGTGAGCGATGGTTTGTATTCCTTTCATTTATCCAGCACTGCCAGTCAGAAATAAGAAGTTTATATCATAACTCACTTTGACTACAATTTTGACCAGTATATCCTGTAGCACAAGTACAATTATAGGAAGCGAGGCCAAGATATTTACAGGTAGCGCCATTTTGACATGGCGAATATGCGCGGCAATAATCGCCATCTGTTAAAATAAGGAAAATATGTATTCATCTATTTTTTGATGGCAAGATATTGTATCTACTTGCATCAGTTTACAGTAAATTGAATATACCAGATATTTTTTTATATACAGTTACGTTAGCTTTACTAATAAAATCAAATTATGGCACTTAGAGTTTATTGTAGCATGCTGAGTTTTAAAATTTTAAAGTATTTCTAGAATCACAGATCTTACCAACTTCACAACGTGCACCAGTCCATTGTGCAGGACAGGCACAAGTGTAGCTATTTACTCCATCATGGCAAGTGGAATAAGGGTGGACACAAGGATTCGATGCGCATTCGTTTATATCTGCAACAGAAATATTAAAATGATGATTATGTTCAGTATTATAGGATAACACGATTTCCTGCAATCATGATTCGATAATCAAGTCAGCGAGCGAAAGTGACTGGTTAGAAAACAGAAAAACAATCTTACTTGTTTGACATGTACTACCAGTGAAGCCAGTCGATGTACAATTGCACGTGTAACTGTTAGATCCAAGAATACACTGCCCGCTATTAAGGCATGGAGTTGATGAGCAAACGGTAACCTCTGAGAAATTAATAAAATTTACCTTTAAGAAAATCTTTATCTATATTTCATGTTATCTATCAGTTTATCTGTCACCTAATTCAATACAGATCCGCTACATACTTTCTGTAAAGACGATGAACTACATGTTATTAATTAACAAAATTTACCATTAAGAAAATCTACCCCTACAGTATATTTTACGTTATGTATATGTTTCATCTGTTATTGAATTGAATACTGATCGACTAAATAACTGCCATAAAGAGAACAAACTACAAGTTAGATCTAAAGGTTTAATGAAATACTCGCTACTTACGGTCTTGACAATTTATTCCTGTGAATCCAGCTGGACAATTGCAGTTGTATGTTAAATCTCCAGTCGATATACATGTCCCACCATTTACGCATGGCGAATCTTTAACGCAAACATCTTTAACTTTTATAAACCAACAGTATATAAAAACTTATTACTTACTAATTCTTTAAAACATAATGGCTTCCTTTGCTCATAAAATAAAATTTATATCAAGGAAATTCTCACGTTTTTCGCATCGGGTGCCAGTCCAGTCGCTAGGGCAACTGCATGTGTAGGAATTAACATGATTATGACATGTCGCGTATACATGCTGGCATGGATTAGATGCACATTCATCAACATCTGAAATTGCATTCATGAAATTTGTTACAATGATACATCATTACATTCCAGCAATTGTATTTACTTGGATTATAATTTTACTTAATAACGACGAATTTTGACCAATGGTTTATGTATCTCCCAATCAAAAACGGTACTAAAATCTCTGCAATGCGTAGTTTTACAACAGCAGACCCTGTAGACTTAGTTGTATGATCTATAATATTTGCATCATTTAACTGAGTTATACCATGACTTATCATAGACCAATAAAAGGCTAGATTGCAACTATCGAGGTTCATAGCTATTTGAAAATCAAATTTTAACCCATAAATTTACAGTATTCGATATTATCAGCTTGTAATTCCACTATGAACTGTAGTAGAACTATACAATTTGTAAAGATGCTATAAAATACCGGGTGTGATCTAAAAATTTAACAATTTTTTTAGAAAATGCCTAAAGCAAACTAAAAATTGCAAATGATTTAATTTACTACCCTATCACTTACTCTGTTGCGTGCTTACACAATAGCAATCTCAATCAATTTAGTTCGGTATCATATTTATCTATAGCCTAATTATTATGAATCACGTTATGTATTTTTAACTAACGTAGTTGTTATTTAAGAAAACATTGAATGTAGCTCTTGATTAGAACGTGCATCGTATTGTAAGAGGGTATAATTATCGCAATTTACCATCTTGGCAATTTCTGCCACTGTACCCAGAAGGGCAAACGCAAGTATAATTGAGAGGAGATGGCACGCATGTACCTCCATTGGTGCACAAAGTAAATACACGACAAGCATTGATATCTAGAAAATAATAAATGTTTATAAATATAACTTAAGTGCTTTATCAGTACCTTAGTATTTCAATACAGACTTCTTGATTTGTAAATTAGATCAAGCAATTTATATAGCATTAGCTATTTATTTTCTATTAAGTGATTAATGTTACTTCCTAGTTGTTACTGTAGGATACTGTATACTTTAGGATAATAAGGCTCGGAGAATATTAATCTCATAGTAACTTACCAACTTGACACTGGGCTCCTGAATAGTATGTTGTACAAGAGCAAGTATAACTATTAATTCCATCGGTACAGTTACCGTTGTTTTGGCAAGGATTAGATGCACATTCATCAATATCTAATAAATTCCATTAAGTAACGTAAATTACATAAAATTTGAGAAATTAGAACTAAAGTGAAATACTCGTGTAAATAAGATAGATAATAACATTACTGACAGACTTTAATCATTAAATTATTTTTATTACTTGTCTCGCAGTGTAAACCAGTAAAACCACCAACACAAGAACAATTATAGCGAAATGGCATATTAACGCATGTTGCACCGTTCACGCAAGGGTTAGAATTACACTCATCAAAATCTGCAAAATATGCGTTCGATAACTGAATCATGAGTCTAAACAAGCCAAGTTGATAACAACTGACTATGTGCTTCTTACCTTGTGAACAATTTTGGCCTGTGTAGCCTGTAGGACACAAGCAACTATACGTATAGATGCCAGTGTAAGTGCAGACGCCGCCATTAACACATGGAGAGCTAACTCGACATAGATTACCATCTAAGTGAAATTATAGAATATTACGAATAAAGCTCTTTAGAAATCAATTATATTAGTTAAAGATATCAGAGTAACAGAATAATCGGACATTAATACTTTTCGTACCATTTTCACAGCTGGTTCCAGTCCATTCTGCGGGACAATTGCAAGTATATGAATTTATTCCATCAACGCACGTAGAAGATTGCTGACATGGATTAGATGCGCACTCGTCGATATCTATTCGTATATCAATTTAATGCCATTTTAGCAAAATCAAACTCAATGCATGCCGAATAAGTAAGGCAATAATCGTAACAGCTGAAATATCCCACGCGTGTAGATTACTTAAGGATAAATATTATAAGTATCTTTGCTTTGTTAACGAAGAATATTCAATTTCAGATAATCGGATTTTGCTTACTTATTTCACAATTTGTACCATTAAATCCAGTAGCACATACACATGAATATGCATTAGGGCCGGTGTTATTACACGTGGCACCATTCAAACAGGGCGAACTCCGGCACGTATTTAAATCTATAAAAATGGCATTACTTTTAGAATGTAGCTGATATTAATTGTCTTTGTGCAGCAACTTTTGTCGATAATAAGAAAAAGTATCATTCCTAAAATCTAAAAATAAACTTTATATATGATCTTAAGGAAAGCAGTAATCTTAAAATTACACTGTAGTATTGTAGTTATATAAAATTATTAATAGATGAAGAACTCCATGTAAGAAGGCACTTTCAAGTCCCGGATGTAGATAGCTTGTTCTTATCGTACCTGTATTACAGTCTATCCCAGTCCAAGTACTTTCACAATCTACACTAACATTTATTCTAAATTGCGATTTATCGGAAATTGGCCTTGTCCCTATCATAGTAGCTGTTTCAGAAGCTCCTGGTACAGTATTAAAGCGTTGGGTAAATCGATCAATAAGACTGTCTGTACTACCTACGTAGTTTTTGTCCATTGCAGTCAAATGAACATTGACAAAACCCTGACATTCAAGAACAAGAAACAGATATCAGATAAATACTACTATATTAATTCAAAGATCATATTTCAACTTTAGAATGTAATTTCTTTATATTTACTCTATATTTTTCATTGATGGATCCACGGTACGGATTGGTAATATTGTCAGCAGTTAGAGCTTGACCAACTGTAAATTGTATCGAAGATGATGCATTCCAAACATTCGTAGTTAGTGAACCGTAGGTGCAAGGGCTGCTTACAGTTAAATTATTGCCACATAAAGTGAAATAATATCCACAAGAACCACCATTGCAGAGTGTAGTATTCCAGTGACTTTGATTATTATTTATATAGCTTTGAAATTCGTAACTGATGTAGGCATGCACATCAGCTTCTACATAACACTATAAAGTGAAGATGTAAAGTTACATATTTCAAAAGGCATGCATTTCCTCAAAAATATAAATATTAAAAACAAAAGGCCTACGGATAAAATTAGAATTACGAACAATTTCCACTATGTCAATTAGACTTAAAAGTATACATTTGATATGATAAATATTAATCATTGCACTACTTTAGTTATCATAAACTGATCAAGGTAAATTAAAGAGGCTAATTGAAAAAATGATATTGACCATGATCCTTCAAACATCGATCTAAGCCTAAAAACACCTTTTTATCCTTAGCTGAATATTATTTCAAATACAAAGGTAAAATGATTTGTATCTTAGACGGAATCATGAAACGTAACCTAAATCTAAAAATCGAATTTACTATCTAATTGCAATAAAATTTAAATCGAAAGAAAACGTTAGTGGATAGTAATTGCTTTTATTACAATTCATTTTGATTCTAATGTTAACGAAAGATAAGAACTACCTATTAACAGGAAGACTTCACTTCATATACAACTGGCAAATATCATCAGCCATCTTACAAGTTACTATAACTTCCTAAGCAATACAGTAGGAGCTTCTGCTAACACCGTAGTGATTTATATTATCGTCTATTTCCAAATGCAGCATAGATAACAACTGACTACATTATTCAGATACTTTCAGTCTACATAACTATTAAAATCATCATGAAAGCTAAGATATCTCTACTAATATAGGATCTCTTATATTAACGTCAACAGCTGTTAAAGCTAGTTAATCTCACTAACGTTATGCTAATTGTTATCGAAAAAATTATTCGGCCAGCACGAAAACTCTGATTAATTAAATTGGAATATCGCATTTGTCTATGATGATAAATTAATATCACTAGCATCGCTAATAACTAACGTAACATTTAATCTTGTCGTCTAAAAAAGTGTACTTAGAAACGTAATAGCTTCAAATTATCGACTGCAAAGCATTAATGACCAACATTTTAGACTATAGGATTCACAAAATGCGAGTAATAACATCGAAGATTGGCTTATTGCATTTAAAAAGACTTTTGCTTATTAGAAATTTAGCATTCTGTTACAATCACAAGAGCACGAAATTGATGGATTCATTTTCTGAAGCACTTATTAATTTAAGCCTTACTGTTTTAGCTATTATTTCTAGGCAATTCTAATAATTAATTATAAGCACCTAATACTAAATCTATAACTTTATAATCATTTTTAGGTCATCTCCTGACTGGAATGCTGATGGAGAAATTAGTATTCGGCAATCCAATGTTTAGAATCCTTACAATCATCTACTAAATTGTAAAAATCAAAACATCTGTTCACTGCTGAACTGCACAGCCGATAATTATAATTAAAGATTAACTTCCAGGACTCTTTCTAGCTACGTCTATAGTACATAATTTAAGAATTAACTTGATAAATAGTTAGGATATATCAGTGAGATTAAAGCATTTGTATTAAACTAAAGTTAAATTGCTTAAAGCAATTATCTTACTTATCTTAAAATTACATATCAATAGAAAAATTAACTTTTATAGATAATTCGGGGTTAAATTAAAATGCTCAGAAAGGGTAAGTTATCCGCTCGGGACTTATATCTAACTGTAGTTGTTATTCAGAGACATTATAGCTGTCGGAATATAATTTATTATTCATAGACCCTCGGATCTTGCCCAATCATAGTCAATTATAACATAATTAATAGTCAAGCAATGCATGAACTGTTATTTTTCTAGCTAATAAATTAATCAATGGCGTTTTTATCAGTTTCTTTCTTCATATTCATCAACAATTGAGAACCGACCCGTGCATCTATCAAATATTAAATACTCAATGACATAACTGATTTTAAGAACTACATTAAAATTTACAGTAATATCCAGGTGGTCAATAAGTTTATAGCCACGATAATACTAGCTTACAAATTCATTTTATCTTAGATTAAGGTAATCTGTATTACTAATTTCCTGTAATGGGCTATATTTAAGCTTGCTTGAGAAAAACATGTAGAAATTACTACATGTAAAAAGTATACGATAATGAGAGAAATTCTTATCACTTTGTTGGTAATCTATGTAGTAGCTACAATCATGAACAGTTTCTAGTAGAATTATACGTAAATTTTCAGGAAAGCTTTTGGAGATCGAATGTGTGATTCATGATTTTAATAGATTATTAAGGATTAGAAGATGCGATTTAAACGAAGAAAAGAAGATAGTAGGAACCTAACTGTAATAGTTTAAATTGAAACTGAACTTTATTCTATGACTTACCAAAGTTGCGATAGTTAAGAATAAGTAAAGGGCGACAAACAAAATTTTCCTCATATTTCGTCTTATTAAAGCTCGTCAGTGCAGCTACGAAACGATATTTAGCAACTATAATCGTTGTTCGTCTTCTTTAATGTAAAGTGATTCGGATGAACCTAAATTTAACCAATTGTTGATTTTACAGCAATTAGTTTCTAATCGTTTTTCCTCGGAATTTGTTATTAAAGAATAAACCACACCTATAATCACCTATTAAAAATTGATTAAAATTAAAATTAAAATTTAAGAGTTAATAACGTATCATAATAAAGCCCAAAGTGGACGCATTGCAATCTAATTTTACTGCACCTAGTGGCGAGCAAATTATTCAGATCTTTATGAAATCAACAGGTGAAGCTCATATGTTTACTAATTAAAAAAATCAACGGTAAAGAAACAGCTGCTATTTTATATGATAGTTTGCGATAAATGTTATTCATTCCATCCTTTATTCCAATTCTAGATGTTATTTATTGTTTAGAAGATTTAAATAGGCTAATATCTAATATTTTCAAGTAAGCACATATCCGCAGATTCTTATGTTACATTATCGGTACAATAATGAACACAACAGCTTACACATAATTCGGTTGTAGTTTTATAGTTTTATCTACCTCTTACATTTGTGATTTCGTGGATTTTCAAATCAAATTTGTCGTACTTACTAGATTAATAAGGTAGACATGGCTATCATGTTATCTTAAACGGAATTTTATCGCCGGATAACTTCCAGATTGATGTTTAGTTAAAAACTGAGAACAACAAAAATAAAGTGGTAGTGCATGGAACGATCATAGAAACAGTACATTATAAAATCAGGTAACGCTAACGGCGACCTTACTAATAGTAATGATTGGTTGGATATTATAAAATAGAATAAAGGAAAATTATGTGTATTATTAATGATATAATTCACGATTATCAGTCTCTATCAATCAACGAGACTTAACTAGTAGTATCAAATGTCATTCAGGTTTGCTAATTGTTTTTAATGAACATAATAACCATTATGACTACTATCTGCATAGTTAATTTTTTATGGAAATCGATTCTAAAGTCGTACTATATTGGAACAATCTACAAATTATAGTTGCTATAAACGATGGCTTCAATGGTACCAGACTTTACAGCTCAAAAATCTAAGACAACATTCCCTTTAACGACATAGAGTCATAAAACAAACAGCTTATAAAGTGGTTTTTAGTGAAAGTTTATAGAATGTACAGAGACATTCATTAAACAACAATGTTAGATTTAATCTGTTATGGCTATAAGGTGATCATGTTTTAAATACATATCTCGAATATAATCGTAATTATGCTAACTAAAATAATACCGAGAATGAGCTATATCTATTTCGTGAGATAACTTAGGTTAAAACTGCAGTTTAATTAACTGCATTATTTTTTATCAAATATTTGGAAATGATAAGGAGCTAAGTTAATTATTAAATATTATGCATTATTCATTTTGTCTACCAGAGAAGAAATAATCAAACATATCACTGATCACCGGAAAGTACTCACTTGGATAGGTTTCAGCATGATATCAAAATCACCTTGATCCCTAATTATATAATTATGAATCAATTAATCATAGTCAACATAAAATAAAACATAAAATCAATGAACAAGTAATGATCATCTGATTAACTATAATTACACTATAAACTAGCCATTAATTCGTAATCAACAGTTACTAGAAAGAGTGCACCTTAATGAAGCACTTTGTACTGTGCACAAACTTTTGTTATTACATCAAGTGTGACAGAATTAAAATATAACAATAATTAGCATACGTATAAGTGAGGTGTGTCATAAACAATAGCCTTACCTACGGGTGTGCCCAAAGTTTAGTGAATAGACAAAATATAGTTACGTTATCACGACATAACATATTTTATTATTACGCCTATGAAGCTATAGTATTGTACCTACTTCATGGGTAAACTCAACTTCTAGTTAACTTAAAAACTTTTATCCAATACCGCTTCATATAGTTTAGGTAGGCACGCCTACTATGAATAATAATGTTGCTAAATTGCTTCCCAAGGTAGTCTTATAATGCCGTAATTTATTAGTGCTATACTGCTACTACAAGCACAACTATATATATTATAGTATAGTTATTAGTATTTCAGAATAAAGTATCAGTGATAGGCATGTCGCTCATATTCTCATTACTAATTTTGAATCTAAATGCGATAGTATTTAATTTTCATTGTCTGAAGCAGTATACTAAAAATGTAATTCTTCTTTTGACTTTATAATTCCGATAATGATTTAATTATACTTATAGGAATCTAAAATTATCAGCTTTCGTTTACATTTTTCAAAAATAATGAAATAATTGATTTTAATACCGCACAACTAGCTACTACAGTTATAGCTCCGTCTTTAATTAAGGTGAGATCATTTTTACGCAATAAATCATTTTTACCATCAGCCAAGTTGAAAATGAAGTATATTCTACTCTACTGACGGTGAATTTCGTGTTAGCAGTTTACTATAATGCTCATATTGTAAACAAATACTATCCTAATCCACTATACTAAAAGAATAAGAAGAAACTTTAGACAGTTTAGAAGAAATGCGTTTATATGCAAGTACCTAGATATCGCATCTAGTTACATCTAATGTTATTATTTGGGATTTAGGAAGTGGCAGGAACAGGAACATAGTTCGTGTTGTATTATAAAATTTAAGACTCCAGTCGAAAGATTGAATAATTTTAATTTTCTTCATGATACTGCATAAAACAGTTTTAGTTAGTGATAATCAAAATAAACCAGCAGTTTGATTCTATAGTCAACATCGCTAAATCGTGCAATATGCAAACTCAAATTGTAAATTTTGCAAATTGCGGCATATGCCACTTGAAATAGTTTATTTTATTAAATGTCATAATTACTCTAAATTTAAGTAGTTAATTTGAAATTTGATGTTGACATTAATCGAGATTACCATATGTGATGGAAAGAATTAAAAAATGGATTACAATCTCCAAAATCTTTCTAAATATTCTAATAACATATTCTACACTATAATCTACGCAGTGCATCCATATTACATCTATTTTAAACAAATTTTAAGCAAATAATTAAAAACTGCCTCAATTAGAGAATTTATGATGCTTATACAGTATCTCACTATTACTTATAGAAATAAGTGAAATAAAGTTATCCTATTGTATCCTAATTTCACTTGAGAAATCATTTAGTGCTACGCTCAGAAACGGAATAGAGGAGAACAAGCGACACTCTGCGCTCTATCGTACAGTAATCCAACTTTAAAAGGAATATGGAGCATTTAGTTCAGCTACAGTTATGTTCATGGAGTAAAATATTAACACTGAGAAAATACAACTATTTTTCTCTTCAATTGTAGTGTAAAAAACGCAGACGCTCATTGTTCTGTTCTCTTGATATGTTCATCATGTAGTAATACTGTATATGCATGAAAGGTGCTGAACTATTGACAATTTAACGAGTTTGTTTAAACTTTACTCATGATCCGATATCATTGAAGACGAACTGTTATAAACCTCTCTAAGACAGCTAAGCTATCTACTCTCAAGATTCCTAACTCCACTACTCGTCTAGTTTGACTTCATACAGTTACTGCTTTACCAGCTTTCTATTTCTATGAGTAGTTTCGCCGGATAACAAGAACTTACTACCACTTTTACAGTACATTAGTATAGAAATTGTCAATGACACAACTGAGAGCAACATCCTTCCACATAAATTGCCCCAACATAATCATTTATTCAGTTAAATACTACGTAATCATTAAACAGTTTAGATCTAGTTGTCCAATCAGAAGTTGGCAATTCATGCAGAAATATCGTTAACCGAACTTTTCATTGCTGTATTAAATTTATTTCTATAAAATACTTGATAGCTATTACGATCTCCTTATAATTGAATATCATTTCATACATTGCTTAGATTAAACATACATTTTTATGGAGCAATTCTGATATGATAACACCGTACATATAGTAGTATAAAATATCACATAATGTTTGGACATAATACGAGTTAAGAAAAATTTGCCTTTATACAAAGTTACTGGTTAGTAACAGACTAAGTGCAGCACCCGAACAGTATTGATAGAATCGTCGATAATATTCACAACGTGCATGATTAGATTCATTTCAATGATATAGCATCCTCATTAATAATCATAATGTCATGCAGAAGTCAGTTATTTATTTTCTGATAACAATATAGTATTACAGAATACTGCCGACATATCGTTTAAGAAATTAAATTATAAATTACTAGCACGTTCGCTATGCTTCGCGTACCGTATGTACCTGCACTTTTTACTTTACAATTATCATAATGGCAAGCTAGTGAGATTTCATAATTAGCTCATATACGTTTTTCATTATATTTTGTTCAATTTCCGCATTCCTTGCTTTTGCTTATTGTAATCAAATATAAATAACAGATAATAAAAAACTTGCAGAACATTAGACTTGAATCCGAACACTAAAAATATTTATCGTTTTATTACGATACTATTAGAAGAATACCTAACTGTAGTAGTCAGAGTAAAATAACCAGTCGAAACTGCATTAATTAGTGTTAGCATTCCTTATATATCGCAAACAAAGCAATTATGAAACCGCTTGAGCCAGATGTACAGATAATCACTATTTAAAGCAATAATTGTAATGTATTGCCCGATTTCATTAAATTTATGATCACAAGCTCACCTGCGAAGCAATATTATTGGAATGCATAGGTTAATGTAAGATAGTAGTAATGGTAACTGTAATTACAACGAAGCCTATATTGCTATGAATTGGAATCGGATGAGTCGCGGAATTAAATACCTAACCTACATAGAATTTCGTGTAAATAACAATCAACAAACACCGAAAACCGTAACACTGTTTTAAAAGCAAATAATTAAGTAGCCACATACCTAACCTCATTCCACTATACCTTTGACATAAAAGCTATCATCTTTTTTCAACACCATTATTCCAATACAGTTATAATCTTTCCCTTGCATTACGCTTTAACATAATAAAAATACGTAATCCAATCCGAAAGAAGAAATGAATGGTAACTCATAGCTTCTGATGCTATTTGCTGTTAATTTAAACTCATTATTTTCGGCTTTATCAAGTACATATGCAATAGTAAAACATTATTTCTTGTAAATCGGCAAAGTGACGATGAATTTCTTTATGTACGGTATGAAAGGAAAAATTTTACAAGTCTAACAATTTTGTCCCTCAGATGAAGGTAGCATCATAGAACGAAAAAGAGTAGTTGAAACGGAGGATGAGTTGCAAGGCATCGGTACTTACATGAATTGCAGATCTAAAACCTGATTTACTAATAATACACTTTCTTTTATCCTATAAACATGCTATATAGCCAACTTAAATATCACTTGTAAAATTTCAAATTCCATGTATGTTTTGATGCAGTTGATCAGTTTAACGACGATGAAGATGAATCAGATTGGATTGAAACTGGAGGTATGCCGCTTGAGAAACAAAAATTTATGTGATGTACGAATTAAAACAATTGAAATTTATTTGCCCCTATAGACGAGTTACTTATTGCAGAACAAAATATCAAAGGTTAGACCTACTAGAAGTAAATTTATATTATCAGATATACTATTAAAAGTTATTTTGAGCATTCTGTGCTCCATGCGTTCTCTTTAAGTTACAGACATACCTTACAATCATTTCGTATTTCTGTCTTTTTTGTCTTGCACCATGGATTTATTGAACTATATATTATATATATATATATACATATATTTAAAATTTTAATGCTTGATCGACCATATTGGCACTTGAACGATAGATGGGAAGCAATATACGAATTTTGATGATTTTAAAGAAGGTAAATACCATTTATCATCGATTCACATTAATTAATGTGGTAGTACTCGTAATTTTGGGTTTAGAAATTTTGAATTATGAAAGGAATGCATCTAAATATCAAACCCTAACTTACGTGTATTTAATTTAATGAAGTGATCGGTAAATTTGAAGACAATATCGACACGACTACATTCGAAAAGTGTTTTAAAACTAAAGGTAGGGCTACAATACATTACAATAATATCAATTTCGTAATATTACACATAATATAACATCCAACTGCACAGTTTGATAAAGAAATACAGGTAAGTAACATCTATATATCAAAGCTAGTAACTCTTTATGATTAATAACATTAGTCTAGATCAACGATAAATAAAGCAATATCAACAATTTAATTTTCTTATAGAACTATGCGATACGTATTCCTGCGATGAAAGTGATCTTATGTCAATCATTGATCCAAATGATCCTAAATCGGAACTTTCAAGAAAATTAGATGAAGATATAGATGGCGAATGCAAGAAATGGATCGAAACCCTGCGTAGTAGAGAAAAAGTTTCTGCAATTCCTGAATTGACCTCAGTTGTAGGCAAAACTAGATGGCTCTTAAAAGAATACGGCTATATGAAGCATTTTGATAGAGGAAAATTTAAAGAAGTAGAAGGATACTATCACGATTTAGGCAAGCCTGATAGCGGATGTAATCAGCTAGCCATCTACGTTAATCGTTATTTATATTGGTGCTCATCGGGAACAGCTCTAAACTGGGAATATTTAAACGATTCTCATCTGATAAAAGACTACATTAAGGAAATGCATGAGAAAACAAATTGTTCAGCTTCTTTCCTATGTAACATTATTATTGCAATATTGCGTGGAAGAAGATTTGCTGTGGCACAAGGAATGATTTCTGAAGCAACAGAATCTCAAAAGATACTGCTTGAAGATGTATTGAAGAAATATCGTACACTTATGAAGCAAAGATCTCGCGATATCTCTCGAAACTTACGTAAAAGAGGTTCAGTTTTAGAACCTAAAATGTTTTTCAAAGCGGTTAACAAACCAGCATTAATGAAAAAGTATAATGATCTAGTGACATATTCCAAAATGATCAAGAAGAAAAATGGAAAACTGCCAGATAGAATGTATATCTTCGGTTTAAGATTTACATTAGCACATATGTTGTTAAGCTGTGCTTCTAGGCCTGGTCCATTATACAATTTAACGTTAAACGATATGCGCTGCTCTCGAGGCAACTGGGATGACGAGAAAAGTGAAGTTATTATTACTGTTTTAGATCATAAAACAGGCAAATGCGATGATGCTCGCTTTATTTTAAGTCATTATTCTAAAGTTGTGGTAAGAGAATTTTGGCACTATATTCGACCTTTGGTACCTCAGATAGAGGATGGAAATGATGCATACTTTTATCTAAATTCGTCAGGAAAACGTTTATGCTCATCACAGGTAAACTCTCATGTTCGAGTCATATTTAAAGTAGCAGGTATTGAAGGATTTACAACTACATTGCTCAGAAAAGCCATTGAAAGCGCTTCGGCTAATCGATTCTCGATGAAGGATCAAGAAAACGTTGCTACACTACTAAACCATGACACACAAACGGCTGATAGGTACTATAAAGTTTACATTAATAATGAAGAAAAGGCATACAAGGGTTGGGAAGCTATTAATTTGCTTTACAGCGGTAAGTCACCGGAACACGACGAGGATGACTACGAAGATATTCGTGATTTTCCAAAGCATGAAATTAAAGAATAGTAATAATTAATTTCCTAAATTATATTATACTTTATCAGAACTAATACACATCATATCATAAACATTCTTTCATTAACTTTTACGTCATTCATTCTGAATCTTGTAATCACTAATTCTGTATTACCATCAGTTTTGTATACTGTCGAATCTTCAGTATTGACTCTATGACCTCATTCGATCACGCAATCTATAACAGATTTCTCGTCTGAATTTATTATTACCTACTTATGATAAATAATGAGTATCATCTAGATCAAAAAATTGATAAAAAGTAATAAGATGTTTGATTTGATTGTATTGCTTCCAGTTTCGGCGAAATAAATAAAAGTAAGCATAAAAATTAGTAATGTGATTAGCATTCAAAGTATATAGAGATAACTCTTCCACTCCTTGAATGATAGAAAGAACTTAAAACCATGAGTTCATAGTAGCTTTTCATGTAAGAATAAAAGACACAGGAATGATTTCGCTCAAAATAACCAAGTATATATTTACTAACTCAATATCTACGGTATATGAGGACAAAACCACTACGAAAAATGGGCTTTGAATTTAACCTAAGCGGCTAAACCATTATATAGTCATTACAGTCATTGCTTCATTTATCCTGTTCTAGAAATATCTTGCTAACCATGAGTTCTATGTAGTTAATAGGTTCAATAATGAGTTAATTTTGATCTATGTAAAATTTTGCACAGATATTTTCGCTTAAAATAATTAAGAAGTAGATTTACTAACTCAATAAAATCATTAGCACAGAAACCACTACGAAACAAATGAACATTGAACTTTCCTAAGTGGCTAAGCCATTAGATAATCATCATAATCATTATTGCATTTTTCATCCTTTTCAAGAAAAGCCTTACTAACCATAAATTCCAAAAATTTGTTTGGAACAATCATATACTAATTTAATCTAAGTAAAATTTTGAACAGACATTTTTCGAAAGACATTTAAAATTTCCTTTACTAGAACAATTCTAGTAATGCTGTCAGGAGAAAGAAACCTAATGGATATAGCATAAATGCTAGATAGATTCAAGCTATATCTTTCTGTTGCAATTAATACTGTAATTATTTTAATGTCTAATCAATATAATATTGAAAGAAAATATTATGACTAACTTTGAATAATCGCTTTATCTTCGGTAGTGAGTTATTGTAAGGCTAGATCATCTTATAATAGCCTGGTTAATTAATAAGGTGGTTACTATTCTATCGAAAGTAGTAAAATGGAAGCTCCTTAGAAAACAGTATCTAGCACTATCGGTTGCCGCTAATTCTTTAATTTGTTTATGGCTTTGAATTGATGTTGAAAGCGAAGAGATCTCATCTAATATAATAGTTTTACTAGGTGGAATGTCGAATATGAACAAGTATTCATAAAACATCACTGCTTGTCCAGTAAAGGCTTCTTACAGATGAATTAAACAGATTTTACTACAATAAATAAAATATCTCATTAATACAGGACTGGATAAAATTTTGAATCCCTTCATGACTTATTATGGCCGGTACTTATTTACATTTAGTAGTAGACCCCTCGCTCGTTATACTTTACTGCACATGAACAATTTCCCTGAATCGCCCGTAATTTATAACTTCATAAATAAATTAAATTAAATTAACTTTTTAAGCTTGCTTTCATGTAGTCTAAGTTAACGGACAAAGCACTGTAAATTCTCAGTTAAATATAATATTATTTTACGATTTTCGTTCGGTATATAATTATACTATAATAATGTGATGTGCACTTGTGCAGTAAGAAACGCGTAATGCGCACTCTTCTCTCTCTCGTAGTAATGATGACCTCTAACTGATTACTGTAGCCTATAGTAGATGATCTGGCATACTATATATACATATGGGAGATGAGCCAGTAGCCTAGTGTACGATGTATATTTATTTTAATATAGTTCAATATTATCAGTATTACGATTATACTGTACTTGGAAATTAATCATGAGCTAGAGCATAAACTATTAAATTCGCCAGAAATTTAGTCCGTGGCTAGAGGCATAGCGCAGCGTAGATTCTTCAGCAGCTGAGCCAGAGGCATGAAGTAGTTTATTTTATGGTCTCTACCGTACAGTAGCAGAGCCAGTAGCTTAGTTATTTTCAGCACTAAGCATGTTGAACACACGAGCTGTTTCTAATACACTTTCTTCACAAAACTGTACAATTCTGATTATAATTATTACAGTAAATGATAGCTTAATGCAGGTGTATAGGCTT